AAACAAATTCCAAACAAATTAATTCAGCTAATTCACAAAAATACTGAAAAAGGACGAGGAGCAACAACAAACAAATAGGTGAAAAGATAAGTGAAATACGTAGCAGATTGAAATGGAATGGAATGCATGACGGTAGCTGGAAGATGGGCGATAAGCGATAAGCGCATCTACCCCGCGTTACCACTACAAAGAGCACCAGCGCTGCCGACCGAAACGACGAATGGGGCATAAGAAAAAGATGAAACCACAAAGCAATGAAATCCTCAAATTCCTTGAATAGTGACTGTGCGTTTATTAGTTTTGAATATCTGCAGGAATATTTCGCAGGCGATTGTCGATTGTCGATTAGCTAGCCAGCCGCGATCGGTCGTTCGCCATCGCTTCCATCGCAGCCTTTGTTCACCACGGTATATGGCTAGTGCGGGTGCGGTCGTGCGGCTGTCGCTACGATTGCTGGTGGCGGGGAGACACGTGCCACAAAGACGCGGCATCAAATTGGCAGTTACTCGCTGATGTTGGTACGTTTTCACAAGCCTAGTAAGCGTGGCTCGTATACCGCATACATTCATACATACATACATATATGTATGTATGTTGTATAAATAGCAAATTAATGGTATACCCGTACAACAAAAACGAGCTAGGTAAAGTATTTACTTTGTGCACCAACAAGATAAAAGGCCAAAGTTTTTTTGTTTTTTTTTGTTGGCAACTTTTTGTAGTTGCTGAAAATTATTTGCGAAAGTAGCAACTATTCCAACAACAGCATGAACGCAGCGAATCCAGCAGCAGCAGTAGAATCGTTTTGAGGCTTCTTAATCAGTAGTCACACAGACGGCCACATTTCAGCACTTTCCGCTACTTACATATTTATTTGGCGACTCGAACTTGCTGATGGAGTGGAGTGCTGCATCTTCGTCGTATGCCTATTGCCTGCATTTGCAAAGTGGCATAAAATATAAATGTACTCATAGTAAATGAAGTAGGCAAGTGAGGCGGCAGGAGGGAAAATGGGCAGCAGCAGCAGCTCGTAAAAGACGAGCGTAAGCTAACAAAAAACTGACAGCAAATGGAAGCCTCATAAATACGAAATTAGTACGTAATTCTATAAGCAACACGCGCCAATGGTACACCTCCGCGTTACTGCTGTTTGCCCCCCAGTGAATTTCTTACTTGCTTTGTACTAGCATTGTTGTTTTTGCTGTGTTTGCTGCTATTTTTTGTTCCGGATGATTATTGTTGTTGATTATCCTTTCAGACGAATTGAAAGGTATGTATGTATGCGCGTGGGTATTCTGTCACTTGGATGTGTGTAATGTTAAACAAATTGATGCTCGAAGCTATAAGATTTTCAGGAAACAAATACCGAATAGAAAAGGTATACATACGATTACTTGTACGCAAGTTTTGTCGACTTCACAGGCCTTACACTGAGGGAAATAATGCATAATAAAATTTAATATCTACTATATTTGATTAATGTTTATATATGTTCGTATTTAAAAATAATATTTTCATACACAAATTTTGCATGCATGTATTTAAATGTTCACATCCGAGTATATACATATCTGTAAGTGTACATACGCATACCAAGCATGCAAAGCAGTGTTGCAGAAAATTCGGTTTAGCCGGCAGCTGATTTGTTAGCCGCTTTGCCAAAAAAAATTAGCCGTTTTTAGCCGATTTTTCTATTTGCAATATTTTCTTAAAATTTTGCGAGAAAAAAGCCTTCAATGTACTAAACATGCGCTCGACGTGAGTTGATACAAGTGGCGCCCAATTTAAATATGGAACGTTTAAAACTTTCATATTATCAGGAATAAAGGCCTTTTCCTTGCTCTTTACAATTAAAGATAGAAAAGGCAAATATCTTAAAAAAGGCAACATCAAATGTGTATATGTATATGAAATCAGGGAAAGCTAAATCATTGACATTCTTAATCAAATGCAACTTCCATAAAATCCGTTCCCTGGTCATAACTAATAAAAAATTCAAAATTCACTTTTTGTTTTATCCCTGCAGAAAAAATTATCAATTGATAAAAAATAACCCACTTGTAGTTGGCTTTTTTGTGGGATTTCTATAAAATATATAACTTGTAGTTAGTTACAAAAAGCTAATTTGAAACTAGTGGACAAGTAATGCAGGAGTGATGCAGAAGGTTGTTTTCTTTAAACGCGTTTCTATTTAAATATCCTGCACTTCGCAAATACTTTTTCGAATTGAGGACAAATAAAATGAAGATCGAAATTTCATATATCATTTCGAAGTTTTGTCTGACGGAGTTCGAATATGGGACCACCTACAGCAGAATATGTAAACAAATATGAAATGTAATAAAATAAATAAAGTAAATAAATAAAAAAATAAAAGAATATTTTGTTTTTCCTATTGATATTTTATGTCCAAAATTAGTTAGTTACATGTTAGTTACATCAAATTCAGAGGTAACCCCCCTTGACTACATCTACTGCAGAGGTAACCACCTTTGACTATTTCGCGGCCATCGCTATAGAGCTTTCGTCAAAGAAAATATACAGATAAAAGTGACTTTTACTCCTTCCTAATCAACTTAAAGTTAGCTTATAGTTAGATACATTTCCTGCAGGGATTTGATGGATTTCATCGAATTACAACTCCCACATAATTTTATGAAAAAATAAATAAAAATAATAGTCACGACTTTTTCAATTTCAGTTGCGATGTTGTTACGTCTTTTTGTATTTCAGGGGACGATATATACAATTAGAATACAATTTTTTCTAATCCGAAAAGTCTTCAAATACTGGGCCGATTTCAGTGATTGTTATTTTACGCACATATACAGTGACCCAAATATAAACTGGGATGCGACAAGCAAGTTTTGGCTATTTTTCCCTGGTCAGTTTAAAGTTTATTATGTTTTATGAAAATATAGCCGACTACTTAAAAAATACCAATTCAATCCAAACTTCATATTTTGTGAAAATATTGTGAAAATTCTGCAAATTTTCACCAAAATGCTTAACTTTTTAATCAGCATCTTTAGAAATTTAAAATTTTAATTATTATATTAAAGTAAAAATTGAAGGTACTTAGCATTTGCCGCTTATTTTTGGCAAATTTTTTGTTGACGGTGTGCCGCATTTTTTTAAATATAAAAAACTTATCGAACTTACTTTGTATGGCAAAAATCGTAACACCGTCATAACAAAATGCTAAAAATCAGCAGTAAGTCGTCGCTAGTTCAAATTTGCACCTCATAAAACTAGAATTTAATAGACTACAAAACTGTATACCAAATTTTTTTCTAAAGATGCTGACCAAAAAGTTAAAAATTTTGCAGAAATTTTATAATTTTTGCACAAACTCTCTGGGAAGACAATATCTATGAATCATGGTGGTAATATCCTTTCGTGTTGCTTATTATTGCTCTTTGACAGGCATGTGCAGAGAGTGAGCAGATCTTTAAAAAAGGAAATGTTTCGAATATATGAACATCAAAATAAATTACATAGTTTAATTGTTAAAAACTTTAAAAGCGACCGGTTTTTTCAATATAAATTACTTTTTTTTCTCGGAATAATGTTGCCCTATTTTCGTCAGCCTTTACACAGCTTTACGTGTTCATTTCTCAAAACATTGCTCTCCGAATAAGCAAAAGTGAAATACTTTCTACTAATATAGCCATTTTGCAGGACGAAAACTAACCTAGTGCAAATGTTGCAATATAAGAAGGCAACATTTTTCTGATGTAGACCTTTAATTAATCAAGTATAACGACAGTCTCCTTTGTTAACTAAAAAATTTTAAAGAATTTATTAATCTTTCAACTTTAGTCAATTGCAACATGTTAAATTTAACTGAAACATTTTAGCCATTTTTTTGGCCAATTTAGCCGGTCGGTCCAAAAAGTTCTGGCAACACTGATCCAGAGCGGTGGCAACACACACGTAGTACATCCCTGTCAGACCATGCAGAATGTGGTTCCCTAAAAATGCCTTTTAGGGTACTGGTTTTTTCACGAGAAATTCGAAGCACATTGAAATTCTGTAGGAAAAATTAGAAAAAATATACATGAAGAGATAATTACATCCTTTTTTCACTCCATTGTAAGGCTAAAAATCTGTAGGTCGTGAAAACTTCACTTTTGTAATGCTTTTACTTCGGCAAATAAATCCGAGCGAAAATAAAAGCTCTACAAAGCTCCCCAAATGAACAACAACAACCGCATGCAAAACTGCCTTCTTAAAGCACCGTTCTTGCTGTGTTTCACACCTGTATAAAAGCGAATTAAAGACCACATGTTTTTGGAACTACTTCTGAGTGGAAAAAGAACCATGCTATACATACATACATTTTGGAAGCAACCAAATCGGACTGGGATGTTGATATGTGCAAACGCACTAATCGCGTGCTGTGGTGTTGATTGAAATTCAACATTTGAAAGCACATTTCTATGTCTGGCTGTAGCTGAGTGCGAAAAGATGCTTGCCACAATTTGTTGATATCCAGAGAGGGTCAGGGTCCGAATTCCATTGCAGGCAACATGCAAATTATATATATATATATATATTTTGGTTGGTTTTTATCTTGATTATTCACTTCACGGACGCTTTTTGAAAACGAACGCTTTTAGTAAGATGATCAACTACTTGATTTTACTATTTTTCCCCCCTAAGTGTAATTTAGGTGCTTAGCGTCCACAGAAGATTTGCAGAAAAAAATTTAATTCACTGAAACAATTGATTGATTTGTGGAAGATCCTTGAAGACTATTGCTTAAATAAAAAATAAAGAAGAAATGAAGATTTTGGTGTAAAGGTGAAATCGCATTTTAAAATTTGTATGCAAATAAAGTATTTAACAAATTGTTATTTTAACTTTTCAGTAGCTTCA